AAATATATTAGCTAAACAAAAGGTTGAGGGTTTTAGCGGAGAGTAGCATACTAACAGGTGAAGGCGGGAAAGCGATGATTCTACTAGTGCGATGAGACAGTTTTAGCCCGCAGCGGCCGGGTGCGGGTGTGTGTTTGGTGATGGGGGTGGGTCGCCGTTGCCGTTAGGGTATCCCGGCTCGAGACAAAATGAGACAGATGCCCAGTGATGCTCGGCGCTCGCTCTGCGCACCGTATGCGCGCGATGGCAGAATCGCGCGCGCGGATATATCACCAACCTCAAATAGCTGCAGTCGCCAAGAGGCAGAGCATCCGAACGTGTGTGGACTAAAAGCGGACGCTTAAGGCGCCACAGCGTCGCGCGCACACCCAGACACATCCGCATGCAGGTCCCCTCAACTATGATCTGTCTAGAGACGTAACATTCCTCAAAACCCAACGACTCCCAGTGGAATAAAGCAAGCATATTCACACTGTGAGGCTCCAAGTCTACGCCGGATTCTCGTCTGGATGCTGCTTCTGGTTAGCGTATAAAATCCTTACCTGTTGCACCGCTTTTAGCGGAGCAATAGACGAATGATGACGCTGGGAAATGATTTGTATGAATTACAACCCACAGGCAGTGCGGGGATTGCAACCCCCGTACTGTTCTAGTCTGACATAGTCTTACGATGACCCATTTTTCATAACTCGAAAAAGTAAAACCATTTTCATACACGGATGACCTAGTTTTCCAACATGAAAATTAATTTACCCACGATCATCTATTTTTTTAAGTTGGGAAATCATTTCCCCTCATATAACCTGTTTTTTAAATCAAAAAAACCAATTTCCCTATTGTACTGTCACGCATGACAGCTATTATTATTGTACAACTGACGGAAACGAACCAGCGACTCTTAGAAATTATTCTGACGCTTTTGATTACGTTCGGCTGCAAGACGAATGAATGATGATCGAATGAGACAGAGACCTTTCTATGCGCGCGCGCACGGTGTCAGATTGTGGCAAGGACGGATTAATTTTTACGGACAAAACCGCTTGGATAACAACTGCAATAACTACGATAACCAGGCAGCCTATCTCACGGCATTGTTACGTCTTCCTAACCGTGCCTGGGCGCGTGTTTGATGGATGCGGGCCATTGTGCGTGCGTGTGGGGGTGTGTGGGGGGTTGTAGGGGTGTTTGTGGGTTGGGGTGTGTGTGGAGGACATGCGTGCGGGGGTGTGGGGGTATCCTGCCACACTCTGCCGTGCGCTATCTTGTGCGTGCGGTGGCGACGTGCGTCGGTGCAGGTGCCTGCAGGTGTGAGCGTAGCCGGTGGTGCCTGCATGGTGTGCGTGTGCGGGGGCTATCCTGCCCACACTTCTGCCGTGCGCTATCTCTGGTGGTGCGTGCGTGGTTGCGGTGCGGAGCGTTTTTGGGGTTCCTGACTTCTTTCCTGAGTTTCTCAACCTGTAGCAGGCTTCTCCCAGGTCGAGAGATCGAGGGCCACGCACGAGGTTCGTCCGGCCTTTCTTCCTCCATGTGATACTTGAAAAAGAGTTCGCTTGCGACGCGGTTATGGGTGGCAGTGTACGCACCTCTCTCCAAACCGTCAGCTCCTGCCAACTACAGGGGGAACGGACGGACGCACGAGATTAACGAGCAGGCTTCATTTACACTCGTTACGACGCAAACATTGATACGTTAATTAACTTCGTTACGCAGACCAATGTTATCATTGCGATTTGCGACGAGGTATCGATGAAATGCAGTCGCATGTCACATGAAATAAATCTTCGCATATGAGAAGTATCATTCGCTGGTATTTCCATTGTGAAACTGTATAAATTTGCGTACATTTGTCGCAGATATTAATTTAATTTAATTCGTTATGCAGACTATGTTATTATTGTGATGAAGTTAAAGTAGCCATGAAATACAACTAATCTTCCGCATCGTAAGTCGTGTATTACATTGTAAAACTGTATAAATATTGTATATATTATTATATACGTAACATATAACCTTTACAAATATTAAACATTACAGAGGGCCTATAAGGGGAGATCTCATAATTAAATTCACACATCCAGGGGACAATCAGTTATCACATCCCCGAGTATGTATGTATCAGGAGTGTATAATAATAGTTTAATCTATTATTGTTATTATTAGGATTATTAGTATTATCTAGATAAACCTCAGTATTATTATTATCTAGATTATCTATTATTATTATTATATCTAGATTAGTCCATTATTATTATTATTATTATCTAGATAATGCTATTATATTATTATTACTTATATCTACGATTAAGCTATTATTGAGTAATTATTATTAATTATTATTATTATCTAGAAAATCTATTATTATTATTATTATTATGATCTAGATTAATCTATTATTTATATCTAGATTATATCTATTATTATTATCTAGAGTTAATCTAGTTATTATTATTCATGATTTATTATTGATTATTATTTAGTATTATCTAGATAAACCTATTATTATATTATTATCTAGATTAAATCTATGATATTATTATGATTATCTAAGATATCTAGATTAATCTATATTATGATAGTATTATTATGTAGATTAATCTATGTATTATTATATCTAGATGTAATCTATATATTATTAGTATCTAGATTAACGTATTATTCATTATCATTATTTTATCTAGATTAATCTATTATATTAATATTTCAAGTATTGGCTTTCTATTCTCTCGTGGTCAGGCACCCTTCTTACCAGTTATATTAGGATTAGCTAGATTATCTATGATTATTATCGTATTATTATTATTATCTAGATTAATCTATTATTATGTATATATCTAGATTAATCTATGATATTATCTAAGATTAATACTATTATTATTATTATAGTTTTATTATCCTATTATTATTATTATCTAGATAAACCTATAATTAGTATGATTATTAGTGATTATTATGATTATCAGATTAAATCTATTATTATAGTAGGATTAGCCACCATTATGCTAGATTAATCTATTATGATTATATTATTATATCTAGATTAATCTATTTTATTATTATTTATTATTATTATCTAGAGTAATCTGATTATATATTTATTAGTATTATCTAGATTAATCTATTATTTATTAATGTAGTATTATCTAGATCCTAATTCTATTTATTATTATTATTATTATCTAGATTAATTCTGATTACTATATTATGTATTATCTAGAGAAATCTATTTACTTAGTATGTATTATTATTATCTAGATTAATCTATTATTAGTATTGTATTATTAGTATCTAGGATTAATCGTATTAGTATTATTCACTCTGTATGTATGTATGGTCGCGATGGGTCCTGGAACCTAGCACTGATCCCGACACTTCTGCGCCCTCCTGTCTCAATACGCGGGCAGGCTTCATTATGTGTAGTTGCTGCAGCCTGCGCGCCCGCAGCCACGCGCCTACACCACTCTACTAATCACAGCACACACACACACACAGCGCACAATACGCAGCGCACACACACGCATGCACACGCAGCGGCGGACGTAAAAACAGTCTCGGTGAAGCGTCGATAGCGTCGCTTGCACCTCCACTGATAAGCGCGAATTACGGAAAGAGGCGGGGAAAACACGTCACGTCTGAAATACGACAGACGTCACCTCAGACGCGCCCGCGCGCTCGGCAGCAGCTCGGAGGTGCGCAAAGATGAGAATAACAAACGGCAGCGCGACCCGGCTGCCGTCAGCATTAGAAAATCAAAAAATTATTAAATTCCCTAGAAGAAAGAGTGACTTTCGACGACTCTCTCTGAGATTTCCAGCCGGTGCCCACGAGAATTGGCGCCCGTCAAATTAAAAACAAATTACAGATTTATATGAGAAAAAAATAACATTCACAAGAAAGGAAATATTCGACGGACGCTCTGCCCAGAGCTCCAACGGTGCCGCTGGCAAGAGTGCGCATTGAATTAAAACGAGAGATTTCAGAAGCTTCGCGCGAAAGCCGCAGCTCACACGCCACGCACCGTTTTTCGCGCCCTGCTTCGTGCTGGGGAAAGAAATGAGATAAAAAAAGAAGACCTTCTTCTAATAGTCTTTTTTGAGTAATTTCTAACTGGAGGGGAAAAGAAGGATATTTAATAGGACCCTCCGTCGGGTGTACCCTCGTGTGCGGAGGTTGCAGCGAGCCTGCCGTGCGGGGCGGGCGGAGGGGAGTGGGGCGCGGGGACGACAGCTCTTGTGTGTGGCTGGGCTGTCGTGGGTGTTGTGTTTGTGTGGCCGGTTGGTGCTGTGCGGGTGGCGTCGNGTGAGCGCGTGTGTGTGTGCGTGCGTGCGTGAGTATGAGTGCGTGCGTGCGTGTGTGAGTATGTGTGCGTGCGTGCATGTGTGAGTATAAGTGCGTACGAGCGTGTGTGAGTATGAGTGCGTACGTGCGTGTGTGAGTATGAGTGCGTACGAGCGTGTGTGAGTATAGTGCGTGCGTGCGTGTGTGAGTATGAGTGCGTGCGTGCGTGTGTGAGTATGAGTGCGTGCGAGCGTGTGTGAGTATGAGTGCGTGCGTGCGTGCGTGAGTATGAGTGCGTGCGTGTGTGTGTGAGTATGAGTGCGTACGAGCGTGTGTGAGTATGTATGAGTGCGTGCGAGCGTGTGTGAGTATGAGTGCGTGCGTGCGTGCGAGAGTATGAGTGCGTGCGTGCGTGTGTGCGTGAGTATGAGTGCGTACGTGCGTGNAAGTGTTTGTGCGTGCATGCGTGCGTGCTTGCGTGTCTACGTGCGTGCGTGCGTGCCTACGTGCGTGTAAGTGTTTGTGCGTGCATGCGTGCGTGTCCACGTGCGTGTGTGTGCCTGTGCGTGTGTGCGTGCGAGTCTATGTGTGTGTAAGTGTTTGTGCGTGCGGTGCGTTTCTGTGTGCGTGCTTGTGTGTGCGTGCGTTTCTGTGTGCGCGCGCGCGTGTCTACGTGCGTGTGCGTGCGTGTGCGTGTGTGTACGTACACGCCTTTGTATCTGCAGGCACGCCGGGGAAAGGCGCAGTTCTCCCGCCCCTACACGCAATCAGTGAACCACCGCCGCCAACGTCACCCAACACCTGTCTGCTGCCCTTCTCTTACGGCGCATGCGCAGCGAGCGTCTTCCGCTGGTACTACAGCCAGGAGTCCCGGCGCTGCGGCATCTTCATCTTCAGCGGATGCGGAGGCAATTCCAACAACTACGACAGCAAGCAGACGTGCGAGGCTGCGTGCGCAACATCTGGTACGCGCGTGACGTCACAGTGTACATTGTATCATATCATATCATATATTGTATCAGGCGCAGTGTGTCACAGTGTGGAACATTGTTCAATTTTACGTTATCTCAACGACATTCGAGTATAGTAAATTATATATATATATATATATATGATACTGCTATACAAAGTAGGAATATATGCGCTTATATTTACGTGCATATTAATTCTATAAAAGGGATATAATTTATTTATTATTTTAGTATTTCTCGCCTGTATGCGAGAGTCTTCGCTCTCTCACTCACTCTATATAATATATATAATCTGTCTGAATGATAATCAGGTAGCGGTGGCGCTGGCAGCGGCGGTGAGACTCAAAGCGACGGATTCCACCAGGGCTGTGAAGACGCTCCATGCCGCAACGGCGCCACCTGTGTATCCGCCGGTACTTCCGGTCCGTTCACGTGTATTTGTCGCGCAGGCTACGCCGGCCTGCGATGCACACAGTGTACGTACAAACTGATGCTATTTTTATTTTATTTATTTAGGTAATTATCCATATATATATACATACTGTTTCAATATATTTTAAATTCATGAAATTAGATAACTACCAAGGATATATACACAAAAAGTATGACTAGCACACTTATTTACATTGTGGTCCTTGTTTAACCGCCGGTGAGGCATCTAAGCGTATGTAGCAAACACCGTACGCACTCCACCGTACAATAAACATACAATGTATATATAATTCCGTACAATATATATATATATATATATATAT